CCCCCCCCCCCCCCCCCCCCGCCCTACTGAGATGCATCAGTATCTGATCGATCAGAATGTGCGCTCCCTTTAGGGAATTCATCATGAGTCACAGCCAGGTGGAGTTATGAGAGGAAAAAGTCACAACCAAGGTGAAGTTACTTTTTATAATCGTCATGTTTTACTCAGCTGTCTGCATCCAGTTGAAGTTTATAGTTAGAAATCGAACAGCTGGACTGGGTCTCTGTTTGCAACGATGATCAGAGTGTTCCAGCGCTTCATTCACGAGTCTGGAAACCCGGTGTGCCGGATCGAAGCCATTTCTTGGCTTCTTGGGTCACATGAACAACAGGCAGGGTCAACGCTCAGTGAAACGGCGTCGTTGTAAGCGAACAAAATAAAGGTGAAAAGTCAGAGAAAGCGGAGGAGAACGGCTGAAGCAATAAACAAAAGAGAACAAAGACTAAAATGGCAACAACGATTGTAAAACGCCGAATAATCTGGTCACCCTTTTAGATATTATTGTACCTCCAGAAAAGATAAATAATCGTCTGTGAAAACGCCTCCGTGTCTGTTGTTGACGTTGACACCGGTTGCCTCGGCTGTTGCCGTGGTTGCAGAGTATCATATGTTGAGAACGGAAAAGTAAAAATATTGTCCCGTGAGGTGGAAAATCCCGGAGTGAGATGTGTTTTTTTTGTTGTCACTGTTGAGACCCCTCTCTCTGCATGCTGGGTCTCGCACATAAGACGACAAACAATGTGCCGTGTGTATGTGCATGTGGTCAAGGTTGGTGGAAGGCAGCTCTCAGACTCTTGTTTAATGGTGTCCTTTGGGAGCCGTTTACCTCCTGCTGCCCCCAGATAGCTCTCAGTGTAGACGCAGCTCGGTTCTCGTGGTTGCCTCGTCAGTTTTTCCTGGCTGGGCGGTTTTTAGTGGAGGGCAAACTCAGAGCGGTGCATCACCGTGCATCCATTACTCGTGGTGAAAACAATCCTCTCTCTCAGTCTGCAGCAGTGAGAGATGTGTGTGTGTGTGTGTGTGTGGAGGGTGGGGTGGGTGTGTACGGGATAATTTGTTGAATATTTGGTGGTAGTGTACTGGGTTGGGTTGGATGTCTGTTTTGTTTTTTTTGAGCAGGCTACATTTGATTCATGAGACCGATTACTCCAAACATTTGTCCTCTTTGAGTTTTGGCTGTATGATCTGGTAACATGGATCTTTTTATTTCATTTCTAACTCGATCTGACAGTATTTCTTCATCATTCCTACGATACACGATGGCCTGAACAACGTGTTTGGCTGCAGTTGAGACTGGATGTGAAGATATGAGGGCAGAAAGAGGGCGTGCAATTGTGAACGACTTGTGCTTGAAATCAAATATGCAACACCCACTTTAAATACATGATAATGAGGTTGCGGAGGCCACATTTCACAAATTGCTCCAACATGTGTCCGTGCTTCATGGATTCATGGCGATTTTTCCACACTACAATCTCACAGCAGCAACAGAGTGTGTGAGACGTAGTTTGACTCTGTGAGACTATGAACATGTGGATCCTCGGTAGAGGAATATACCAAACCACTGGAATATATGTTGTGCACAGCAACGACGCTTACGAGCATCTTAAACATCTGGCAGATCGGTGCCGCATGTTTATCCTCCACATATTTCACCAAAGACGACAAACGGAGAAGCTCAACAGGGGCGCAACATCTGCTGTCTGCTCCGAAGAGTTTCTGCATTACTCAACAGTTTGAACTGTTTCCTTTTAAACCATTGCTCATCTCAGCATGACCACTCAGTGACTCATGTTGCGTTGGGATGGGCGAAGGAGACCAGTCTTAAGCTGGTTCTGGTTCCTAGCTGTTCTGAGCTGGAGTACGGATGAGGAGCTGCTGCAGCGGTCAAGGCTGCGACAGTCGTTCATTTGTTAAACGTTCAGTATTTCCAGTTTGTGTCTCGCATGACGAACCTCTTTGTTGGTGCATTGTTGTTTCTTGCTGTGTTACTGCCACCTGTAGTGTGAAACTATTGGCAGGTAGTGTCCTGCTCTTAAACGCCATACATTTTCACTGTACATCTGATGTGTTGCTTTGTCATTGTAGCTGTTCTGCTCCTGGTGGCGTTATGAGTCTGATGGAAGGGATTCTTTAGTCTCCCACATGGCTTCAAAGAAAGTCGGCCCAGCTCAGTGTGCAGCATTACATCATCTGTCCAGTATAAATGTCACCCAGAAAAGAAGATCATCATGTGTACTAGTGCAATTCTAATGTAAGGAGGTTTAGCTCCAGTTGGAAAACATTATTGTAATTTAAGAGTTGGCTGAAGTAGTTGTAGAGATTCTTTGGTTTTTGCTGTCAGGCTGCAGTTCTTCATGCTGTGTCACTCCAGCTGCCATTACACAATCCTTCAGATATTCAGAGGAGCTGTGAGACTGTGAGAGCCCCCCCCCCCCCTGTTTTTTTAGATCTGAATTCACGGCTCTCCACAAAGAGAGGAAGCTGCTGCTGCTGAGGCGCTCTGCTTTAAAAACCACCTGTTGTTTACTCAATCTGACTGTCCACTGAACACAATGCAAATACTGCAAATCTGCTGCTATTCAAATAACGTTTCACCTTGAAACCAGCTCTGATTAGCCAAGAAAGTATGTACTTATGTATCTGTATGAAAGTGACACACCAAAGCCTGAAACGATTAAACATTGGAGATTGCAGCCTCATTATACCACTTTCAATTATCTGATAATTCTTTAGTGAAAGGATTGTTCACCCAAATTACAAAATACCCACATTTTGTCACTTAAAGGAATAGAATAGTACATTTGCTTCTTTTTTTCTTCTCGGAGAATGAGTTATTCAGATGGTTATTAATATCATATCAGTGTGTTAAATATGGAGCTGGAGTCGGGACATGGTTAGCCTAGCTTAGCATAAAGACTGGAAGTAGGGGGAAACAGCTAGCTCCAAAGCTAAAAAAAAAATAAAGAATACAGTTGGCTAAAGTTCCCTAATTAACACGCTCTATCTTGTTTGTTTATATCATAAACAAAAATATTGAAAAACAGTTTGTTGTTTAAAGGGAAAGTTACGAAGTATATCTTGATAGATAACAGAGTATCCTTCCACTGCAGTGCCTCCGTGCAAG